TGGATCAAATCATATCTTTAATATCGAACCCAAAGGGTTGAAGTGTGTGGCTACTCCTCAAAAAACGTCAAGGTCACCTCGGGTGTTTTCCAAGGATCACACATGGAACCTGTTCTTTTCCTGTTGTTTATCAACGATATTTCCTCCTGCTTCCATTTCTCGCACTTCCTCCTGTATACTGATGACCTGAAATTTTATAATTTTGGGAATGGAGTTTCCAACTCACTGCAACCAGATTTGCTTCTTGGTGTTCTTCAAACCTACTGAAAATCAACATATTTTTTGAAAAATTTCAATTAAATTGATGTAACTGAAGGATTTTTGTTGTTATTCGTGCCCTATGGGCACGAATGTTTGTGATAGGAGTTTTCATTGATAACTCGCGCCCTACAGGCGTACTGATTTGATTTACTCGCGCCCTGCGGGCACACTAGCACCTGTCAAATTTTTTGACAGTTTCAAAAAAGTTTTAAACATTTTTTTTATAGATACCGCATAAATTATTCCAGAAATTGAAAGAAAGAAATTTGACAGGTGTCAAATGTCAAAATTGATTTTGACAGATTAGAACGTTAGCTGTTGAACGCACTTTATCTCGAATTTTTCTGACATCTTCTTGTTACTTTTTCCGGGAAAAACATAAACAAAATGACACCTGTCAAATTTTTTGACAGGTCCAAAAAAATTCAATTTTTTTTTTACATAGATACAACATAAAATATTCAAAAAATTAAAAAAAAAACTGACAGGTTTCAAATGTCAAAATCGATGACAGATTAGGACGCCAGCTATCGAACCAGAGCTGTCAGTACTTCAAGTAAATTACTTGGAAAATGTATTTCAATCACTTTTTAGTATTTGAAGTACATACTATAATTCAAATACTTTTGTTTCTGAATAATTGTACTTGATTCTGCAATTACTTTAAATAAAGTATTTGTATTTGGTACTTGGATTTACAAAAAAAGTAATTCAAATACTGGACATTTGTACTCAAAATACTTAAAATATTTCAAATACCCCAGAAAATAGAAAGTATTTAAAATACCCCAGAAAGTAATTCAAATACTTCACCAAATGTGAAATTAACATGTCCTACAACAGATATGACAGATCGAACTGGAAATTCTTCAATATGCAGAGGATACCAGTATAGATATAAAATCCTTGGATAGGTTTCCTGTCATAAAAGAAATTTTACATAGGTACAATACGTGTCTTCCGTCATCAGCCCCTTGTAGAAAGACTTTTTAGTTTTGCAGAAATAGTGAACACACCTCGAAGGCATAACAATCCCACTGCACTTTATTTCTTAATCAACCTTTTCTAGATAAATCTGCAACTGGAATCTTGGAATCTGGAATCTGTGTAGTACTTTTTAGAGGTATTAAAATATACAGGGTGTTCCTAAATATCATGTACAAATGGAAGGGGTTGATTTTTTGGCTTATTTTATGACTAAAATTTCTAATAAACATATTGATATTTCAATATTTTTTTAGTTTTTTCTTTATAGCTCCTGCAATTTTTGAGGGATTTAGCTCAAATTTGGAATATAAGTTACGCAATAGGAGCTAAATGATTGCACGAGCCGAACGTTTGCCAGAATTTACAGGGTGAAGTTTTTTCAGGGGTCATGCCCTCTTTTTTTGCCTTAACTTTTTCGCGGTGCGCCGCTGGTCGATTCTAAGAAACAAAATAATTTTTCTACCTTATTTAGAAACTTTTTGTTTTCTTGTAGTTTTTTTGTATCAGCGACCCTTATCGAGAAAAAAAATTAAATGACCAATCTCTGTAATGTACTAGATGAAACTACTGTGACTCAATAAACCTTTTCTACCTACAATGACGACAATAGAGGTTCCGCCGCCATATTTTTGCTCATTTTCAATAAGTGCGTTTTTTTTTTTAAAAGATAATTCCCCAAGTCAAAAATTTAGTAACTATGTTGGCAACACAAGCCTTCACTACATAAAAAAATTGAAAGTATTGACAATTTTACATTGTATTGCCATCATAATACCATTTTGACTTTTATCTTTAAAAAAAAAACGCTCTTTAGGAATCTAGAATTAAGCCACGCCTTCGCCCCTATATTCTTGCACATTAAAATTTGAACACCCTGTAGAGCGGTAACGAAGCGTTTGCGGATCTATGTTGATTGGAAATTTTAGTCATAAAATAAACCAAAGAATCACTCCCTGCCGTTTGCACATGATGTTTAGGAACACCCCGTATATTTTCAGCTTTCAATAGTTTTAAAAAAAGAATTGAATAATTTGAATTCCTTTTCAGTGGTTACTTGAAGTACTTCTTAATATTTCAAATACACATAGGTATTTCAAATATTTAAATAAGTACTTGAAATACTTACAGAGTATTTGAATTATTTTACTTGAAAAAATTTAGTACTAAATTAAAGTAGGTACTTGAAACTTGAAGTACTTTTTGTATTTAGTATTTGTACTTGCAACATGAATTTCCCGTAATTGATACTTGGTATTTGAAATACTATTTACCAGTATTTGTGACAGCTCTGTATTGAACGCACATTATTTCGAATTTTTCTGACATCTTCTTGTCACTTTTTTCGGAAAAAACATAGACAAGATGATACCTGTCAAAATTTTTGATACGTCCAAAAAATTTTAAACATTTTTTTACATAGATACCATATAAATTATTCGAAAAATTGAAAGAAAAAAATTTGACAGGTGTCAAATGTCAACATCGATTTTGACAGATTATAACGTCGGCTGTCGAACGCACTTTATCTCGAATTTTTTTGACATCTCCTTGTCAGTTTTTTCGGAGAAAACATAGACAAAATGATATCTATCAAATTTTTTGACAGGTCCAAAAAATTTCAAATATTTTCTTACATATATGTATGTATAGGTACCGCATAAATTATTTGAAAAATTAAAAAAAAAAAATTACAGGTGTCAAATGTCAAAATCGATTTTGGCAGAATAAGACGTCAGCTGTCGAATGCACTTTATCTCGAATTTTTCTGACATCTCCTTATCACTTTTTACGATAGTAACGTGGTCAAAATGACAACTGTCAAATTTTTTAACAGCTGGAAAAAATTGTAAATAATTTTTTACATATACCTAAGCCTAATATATCCGTAATTTTTTTTAAATGTTATCAAATGTCAATTTTTTTTTTTGATAGGTGTCAAAATGTCAAACTGTGGTTCGACTAAAGGACGGTTTAGACGTTCACACAATTTGCGCATGCAAGTTTGTGCAAAAAAAACTGAGTCAAAAATTCCGTCTACACGTTCAGTCTTTACTTGCACAGTGGGCATTAAGTGTTGGTTTTCTCATGAAATTAATAAGAATATTAACAATAATAGAAAAAAATAATGGAAAATGGTAAATATTAATGAAGAATCTTTATCTTTATCTTGTTTACATGCTCAAGCAACTGCACCAACCTCATGTAAATTATCTGGCAGAACCGATTTTATTCAAGTCAAACTTTTTGAATTGCACAAATTTCATGCTTCCATTCACATGCAACGATTCACTTGTGCAAATTTGCTTGTACAAGTCAATTGGCTCAAAATGCAAGGTGTAAAAGTCTTAGAAATTTTTTTACAGGTGGCTCTGTCAATGTATAAGTCATGACAAGTACCGGTGAGGCTGCGCTATTCCGCTCACTGTGTAACAATTGTAGTCCCTTGATTGGGATAAAATTCAGGGAAAGTCTCAGCTTTCTATCTATAATAGAAAAAAAGTTATAACCTTTCAAAGTTTTCCAAGAGCTAAATCATAAGGTAATTTTTTTTTGTTGAGATTTTGTATTCTAATGGTCAATTAGCATCCCCCAAACTTCATTCACTAAATTATTCTCAGATTTGAAGCCGAAATCTATGAAAAAAGGCACTCAGAAAAATTGAAAAATTGGTAAATCACTCCAAATTGCTTAACACGATTTTATCTCAGGAACTATAAGTGCAAATGAGCTGAATTTTTCAGGGATTGTAGTCCTTTAAAAATGATGACATTCAGTGAAAAATTCAGCTTTCTATCTATAATAGAAAAAAAGTTATGACCTTTCAAAATTTTCCAAAATCTAAATCATAAGGTACCTTCTTACTAAAATGATGAAATTTCAAAAAAAAAAAATTGCCGAGATTTTGTATCCTCATGGTCAATCAACATACCCTAAACTCCATAGACTAAATTATCCTCAGATTTGAAGCCGAAATCTATGAAAAAAGGCACTCAGAAAAATTGAAAAATTGATAAATCACCCCAAATTTTCAGGGATTGTAGTCCCTTTATAGCCATTCTCACGGCTATCACTTAACTACCGCTTAAGGGATATTGAATCTACGTGGAGCTTTGAATGTGACTTTTGTTTTTACAAGAGTCACATTTGAAGCTTCACTTTGATTAAATATCCCTTAAGTTGTAGAGGTGCAAATGGCCGTTATTGAGATAAATTTTAGTGACAATTTCAGCTTTCTATCTATGATAGGAAAGAAGTTATGCCCTTCCAAAGTTTTCCAAAATCTTAATCATAGGGGTTGAAAATATGAAAAAATAACCTTCAAATAGAGTTTTTTTTCTTTTTTTTTTTCTGAAGATTTTGAATAAAATTCCAAATCCATTTTCACAGGAACAAAAAGATCCAGTTGGACATTTATATTGTCAGACACTTTATCAAACTCAAGATATTTTCCTTGCAACTTTTGTACGTCGTTTGTTCTCTTTGGCCGAAAATTAATGGCTTTCTTTGTTTGACCAACACTCCATAAGCGAGTGGTTCTCAAGAGTTTTTCCATTTATCTTTTGCCAATAGTTCATCCCTTTAATAATTGATCATTAGTTGCAAAAAAAAAAACTTCAAAATTCAACCCTTTCGTGTTTAAATATCCAGGGAGGAATTCCCACGCAATTTTGGCCCATTAGCGCATGCGAAATGAAATATCTGGCTGGCGGCACTAGAATTTCCCTCTGGAAACGTCCAGTTTTTCGTGAGATCTCGTTCCTTTTTGTCGGGGCCGCTCTTGAGAGCATTTTCCTGACACTTGAACCATTTTCCCAGTTTTGTTTTTTCATGCAAGTGACTGGATAATATGTGCGAATTTAAATGGTGGATTGTGCAAGCGATTTAGGTAATTTATTTGGTTTGAAGAAAAATGGCCGTATTTTTTATTTTTTTTTCTTTGTAAAAGGTCAAATTTTTAAATTGTAATAGTGCATCAAAACTTAACTCCAAGGCTGCAAAATATAGTGTTGATAATAAAATGCTACTACATCGATATTATATAGAAATAATAAACAAATTAATTATGTATTTTAACACGTGTGTGCATCTGGGCTTTGTTTTGATTTGCATAAAATTGATTGAGAAATTTTCCAGATCCAGGGAGTGTATAGAGACTCAAGAGTGTGTTTGTTGTAGGAAAAAGGTTGGCTCTTGACCGCTCTATACCTGGGAAATTCAATTCAGAGCTTAATAATGGGGTATTAGAGGTTTATGTTCTACTTGTATGCATTGTTTCAACTGAAATTTAATTAATAGAAGCTTCAATGTAACTAACTTGTTATAGAGGTTTCTATGGTATGAAGCTTAAAAGTTTCAAATGAATAGAGCATATACCTACATTTTCAGGTGAAATTTATGTTTTTGGTTTCTGGATAAAATTTAATTAAATTGCAACGAAACACTTTGCGATCGATCAACTTGAAAACCTTTATAGGGAATTGAAAATTAAATTATGAATAAATTACGTTATGTTTTATGACAGCATGCAAACTCGATTAACCCTCGTCAATTTTCTAGGATGGGAAAATAAAAAGGGCGAAGTTTTGTTTTTTCTTGAGGTAATTTTTAATACGAAAATGTTGCATATGTATATTTTTAAAAGTTTCTTACCGATTTAAAAATAATCCATTATATACGTATTGGTATTTCAATCGAGAAAAATTTAAACTAACTCAAATCTGATGAGTGATTATTTTGATTATTCTACTAGAATGTTTTATTTACAACTAATAAAAACAAAACATTTTTCGTTTTATTATTTGTTGAAATGGAATATTAGGCCAAGCAATGAAAGAAGTTTAACTCAACATAATTAGAAGTTAAATTTTTTTGGGGGGGATCAGTTCATTTTCATGTGCTTAATAACATATTAAGTTTGCGACCTTGTACTTCCATAGGGTTTTTAGTTAGGGGTGGTTTTTAGGGGTTTATGGAGAACGCTGCTCAAAGGAATGGTCCAATAGCAAAAAGTTTCAAATGATTGTTGTAGCTGAAGTTTTTTGCTATAAAAGACTCAGCGACAGTACTAGCATGTTTTTATTCAAGGTCACTGAATCAACGTTTCACCTGTTTGCGCACATTTGATGCAGCAGCGGCCAAATGCATAATCCGATTTCAATTTTTCAAACACCACATTATTGCTAATGGAATGCACTCTCCAAAGCTTTTTTGTTCGAATTTTTTGCTTGAAAATTAAGCGAGCACGGATTTGCCTAATGTGCGAGGAAGTTGTAAATTGCATCGAAAACTACCCCTTTCTTGCATTCACTGTAGAGGTGGGCCAACCTGCGATTTTACTGGAGCTGTGACAAGACGTGACTGCTCCAGTCGTGTCACGGTGATAAATAGCAGTGAATTTTTGGAACAGTTTAACCTTGATTGGCCATGCTGGTAATACATATAAATACTACATTACATAATCGCAATCCACCCAGTTCGCAGTCACGGAGAAAGGTGTTCCAGTTTGCCCTCTGCAGTAGCAATTTCTGTTTGACGTCACCGCGATGCGATTTACAATAATATTTCATTATTTGCATCACTTTGACTTGAGTTTAGTCCGCGCTGCATCTGAATCGGTGACAAAGTCACCGTCCATGGAATCGCAACCCACCTCTAAAACTGAGCACTTGAAGTACATCTCCTTCTTTGTTTCACTCATTTATAACAGCATTTGTTGTTTTTGCAAACGTATCCTATCTTATCTACTTCTTTGTCTTACTATTTTTGCTAAAAATACAGTCAAATTAACATTAAAAATGAAATTTGTCTGTTGGAAAAAGAGGAAAAACATTCTATTTGAGATTGTAAATGTGGCAACGTTGTTTTCGATCAAGTAGGCCTTGTAATGTAATGTCATTTGCCACTTTTGACAGCCGAGTGTTTTTATCCAGCTTATCCTTGAATTTTTCGGTTTTTCAAGGATTTTTCAATCAAAAAAACTTTTGTTTAAAGTACGAGGCTTTGAGTTTCCTTTATTTTCTGACAAAAAATTTCCAGTTGTCCAACGAGGTAAGTGACCAGAATCTTGGTTTGATCAAGTAGGCTTTAGAATGTTGGTTTTCCATTGAATTTTCCACTTTTCCAAGGCTTCTTAAATCGGAGAAAGACTGTTTTGAGTGCGGGGCTTTAAATTTGCTTCAATTTTTCAGGTAAAAATTTCCATTTTTAGACTAAAATAGTATCCTACTTTATCTCTCTCTTTGTCTTACTCACTATCAAATTATTAGTCGGCCATTTTGAAGTGTCGTGTTTACATTTTTATCCAGGTTTTCCTCGAATTTTCCACTTTTTCAGGGTTTTTTTTTTAGTCGAAAAAAACTGGTTATAGTACGAGGCTTCGAGTTTTCTCCATTTTCTGCTAGAAATTTTCAGTTTTAGATCCATTAATTCACGTTCAAAAGATAAGTGAGAAAAAATTATTGAAAAGCAAATTTTTGAAGCTTTATTCAAGGAATTTCTAATTTTAAAATCGTTATTTATTAATTATTTAACAGGTTTTTAATTATTAAATTACAAGTAGAATCCCATTTTAAATGATTTTTTTTGGAAGTTTTATGATGTGGCAACACCGCTTGTAGCCAACTTCAAGTAGACCTTGTAATAAATGTCATTTGCCATTTTTGACAGTCGTGCCATTTTCAATTGACGAGTTCACATTTTTATCTAGTTTTTCCTCGAATCTTCCGCTTTTCCAGGCCGTTTTCAATCGGAAAATCTGTTTTAATGTTCGAGGCTTTGAGTTTTCTCCATTTTCCACCAAAAATTTCCAGTTTTCCAATGGAGTAAGTGACCAAAACTTTGATTTTTTCAAGTGGGCTTTGGAATGTTGGTTTTCCATTGAATCTTCTACTTTTGCAGGATTTTTCAATTAGAAAAAGATGATTTTAAAGACGGGGCTTTGAATTTACTTAATTTTTCCACCAAAAACTTCCATTTTTAGACTTAAATTGTTTCCTACTTAATCTCCCTCTTTGTCTTATTTACTATTAAGCAGGCCTTGGAATGTCATTTTTGTTGAAATTTATTAAAGATAAGATTCCAATGCATTATTTTCGGAATTTATCATTTCATAAACATGCATAATTAATTATTTAAACAAAAAACTATTTAAAATGTAATTTTTTCCTGTTAGAGATGTGGCAACGTCGCACAATGATATTTCCCAGTTTTGACAGTCGGTCATTTTTGAATGTCTTTATCCAGTTTTTCCTCGAATTTTCCGCTTTTCCATGCCGTTTTCAATTGGGAAAACCGATTGATAGGAAGATACTTTGAATTTTCTTCATTTTTTGCCAAAAATTTCCAGTTTTCCAATGGGGTAAGTGACAAAAACTCAAGTTTTATTAAGTAGACTGTGAATTGTCATTTTTATGTGATTTTCTTTGAATTTTCCGCTTTTCCAGTGCTTTTTTGATCGGGAGAACCTATTTTAAGTACGAGGCTTTGAGGTTTCTTCATTTTCATCCAAAAATTTCTGGTTTTAAATACTAAAATTAGGGGTAGATAAGGTTTTTCTGCCACTTTTAAAAAAAAATGAGCACTTGAATTACATCCTACTTTATCTCTTTCCTTGTCCTACTCAGAGGGTGTTAGAGCTACTTTGCACTTAAAAAAACACTTAATTTAGCAGAAAAAACGGGACTCCGAATAAAAAAAAAAGGGGGGCTCTCAAAACAAAAAACAAACAAAGGCCATTTTGAATTAATTGTCAAAAATTACAAGGCCCACTTTGACTTTGACATATCAAATTTTTTGACGTTTGCGTCAGGGTTGCTGCAATTTTTGTGCTATATTTTTTCGTCCCTGTGGGCCGATTTTTCAATATCGAGTCACCTCCGGGTTGGTTTAAATAGAGATGGGCCAACCTGCAAATGTTGGTATCTTTTCCTACCATAAAAGTTTTGAGTAGGAATAAGAGGAAAATCGTCCGGATTCATTGGAAACTAAAAAATAACAGCACTGTCTTAGCTATAGTAGTGAACAGATAAAAAAGTAAGGCATCAGCCCATTGTACTCAAATGAGTACAGCAAGAAAGTTCTACTTACCATATACTGAAAACGGAGTTCTGTATTCAAAAAACACTAAGAATATATCAATTAAACTTCGAACAAGTTAGAAAACACAAGATAAGCACAATTCTAATACAAAAAATATTCTTTTCACAGGATTATCTGCACTCGTGTGACAATCGGACAACGTAATCTACGTACCGGTTCAAAAATTTGCGCGGGAAAATATTATTTGTCAATTCTGTCACAATATCTTGTAGCCATCTATTGTAAACAACTAAAACTATTGACTTTTATTGGTATAGTTGATCTACCAATAACGAGATGGCGTCAAAAAAATATTTTTCTAGGTGTACTCAACTGAGTACAATGGGAAATAATGGGTTAAGCACATGAAAATGAACCGATCCCCCCCAAAGAAATCTTAACTTCTAATTATATTGAGGTAAACCCTCTTTTCAGATCCCCGTTTCTTGGACTATATCTATATAGTTTGAAACAAAATATTCTTTCTGAATGAGAAGTATTTATTATTTGAGATAATAATGAGAATATTTAACATTTCCATACTATGAATTATGAATTATTTCTCGATTTCCATTGAGTTTTTTCTTTCATTTTTTTGTCTATTCCCGGCTCTTGAATTTCTATTTTCTCCAAATGTCTTTAAAGAAAGAGAATTCAAGAGCTTGCAATAAAGAAAATTATATTTTTCTATGAGTGTTGAATAATCTGCATAATATACATCCATTTTCTATTGATTAATGTGAATGATTACTCATACAGTGAGTTTTTTTTTCATTACCCAATTGTTTTCAACCAATGAAAATATCCTGG